AAAACACTGAGAACATTCTGGTTCTAGTTAAAGGGTACACATTTTTTTCCATATAAAGTTCTATTGAAATTGTTATCCGAGCTTCAAATCGTCAAAGAGTTTGACAAAAATGGCTTAGAGATGTGCTAAACTATAACAGGTTGTGACTGGATTGAGCATTGGAGCTGAACCTTGCTGACTTAAGGTATGACCTAAACTTAGGATATAACCAAAACTAATCAATTATACTTCCGTTTTTTCTTTAACTCATGTAATTCTAGCAGAAAGTCAACTGTAAGTATCAAGGCCCCTCTTACCTCCCAAGGTAAGAGCACATACAAAGACCACATGGGGATTCACTTCCCAACACAGCAATGCTTACTAAGAAGCACTGAGCCTTGAACCACAACTCTTTTTCTAAATCTTATCACAGGGAGTAAAGGAAAAAAGTATTGTGTACTATAATTTTATCACATATTTATCTGTTTCTATTAAATGTGCAACTGACACGTTGAGAAGCTTCCAGATTGGTACCCAAAGACTGACATTTCTTCCTGCAGCAATGGTTAGGGAGAGGGGAAAACAAGACACTTTTAGTTCTACACACTATTTTTCAGTGTTCACTATCTTATTAATTATGAGAATTAAAAATGGAAACACATTCCTTTGAAAACAAGAAACTCCCTTGGTTATACAATGATATTCAGTTCTTGTTTCTAGCATTGGTAAGATAAAGGTCTTTGAGCCATGAAATCACTGCACAGAAAGTATAGAATTTTAAGAAGTTTTTAAAATTCAAATTTTGTTTTATTCATATTTCTTGCTGCAATAGATCTGAATTTATAATGGACTAGTGTCTTAAGCAAACAGCTATGAAAAAGGACATCAAATTAATATCAAGAGCCTACAGCCTTAGTTTCCAGTCCATTTGTTATTTGCAAAATATCCAGGGAAACAGAATTCAAGGTCCATCAGGTGCATGACCATGCAAACCAAAGGAAGCAATGAGACTAAGAACACTAGTGTTTTCCTTATCTGCTGCTTATTCTGCTAAATTCCCCACAAACACATAATAATCCAAATACCTGGAAACAGAAATATGGAAATGAGCAGTGGATATTGTCTACCTGGACTTCACCAAAGCCTTCAACACTGTCTCTTACAACGTCCTCAAAGGCAAACTCAGGAAGAGTGGACTGGATGAGTGACAGGGAGGTGGATTGAGAATCAGATGAGGGACAGACTGTTGTGATCAGTGGCACAGGGTCTAGTTGGAGGTTGTCACTGTGGTGTCCCCCAGGGCTCTACACTGGGCCCAGCACTGTTTAACCTCTTCATCAATGACTTGGATGAAAGGGGGAGATGTCTCCTCAGCAAGTTTGGAGGAGCAGCTGATACCCCAGAGTGCTGTGCAGTCTCCAAGCTCTGCAGGAAGTAGTTCCTAGGGTTTTGCTGAGGGGCAAAGGTGCAGGTTTTCAGCAACAAAAATAAATAGAAATGGTGCTTTCCCAGAGAAGGCCTGGGGAAAGGAGTGCTCCTCATCCTCCCCTTTCCTTCCCCAGCCAGGCAGGGGGAAATGATCATCTTGAAGATGAACAGCCAATCTGGGTATCATGATCAGAAAAAATTGGCTTCTGTTCTTCTGACTTAGATTTAAAAACTTAAGCTTCAGCAGCCTCTAACTTCTCATGACCAGACCAAGACTGACAGTACAAACAATCCCAATGTTCAGATTGCTTCTGCTGTTAAGACATGACACCTTATTTATTATTTCTTATAAATCTGTGTGTGTCAAGACCACTCACTAGTCAATACTGGTGGCAAACACTTGCACCATTTGGTGGTGACAAGGCCACAGGTAACTCCATTCCAAGTTACATGTTTCCCCACTGAGGTTTTACACAGAAATTCTCTCTGAAATCTCTCTATCCAAATCTCTGCTGCTTGATCAAGATAAGTTGATGTATTTTTCAGGCATCCAAATACAAAGGCAGCAATTAACTGTCTGATTTCCCTTTCAGTCCTTTCAATATTCTGTATAACACTTGGCACAGCTGAGTCACAAAGGCCAAAATCAAATTAAAATGCAAATGATGTTATTTATTATGACAAGAAAAAAATAGGATTTTGTAGTCAAACCCAAAGTAATTCATTTTTATAGCCTATGTCACTTATATGCATAATCCTAATGTATCTAAGGATAATAGTATTTGAAGTACAATGACTCAATCAGAAAAATAAAATGAACTTCTCTATACAGTTGTGTATTTTATACTTAAGTGTGAATCTCAGCACTGACACAAAACTGTGCTGACAAATATTTTTGTTCAGTTACATGTTTTCCTTTTCAGCAAACTACAAGAAATCAAAGTATGCATCAGCTTTTGGGGGTTGATTTAGCTACTTAGCAAATTTTATGTTTAGCTTAAATGCTGACAAGTCTTGACCTTCTCTTAGTTAAGTGATAAGCACTTGTTTGTCTACACATTCATATCATTTCCAGCTTCATAGGACAATGCTGGGAACTTCTACTCTCAAAATTTATAATTATCTCCTGGTGAAATAAGCCTGTTTTAAACCTAATGCTTGCAGCCCTTCCTTCAGAGCTTCAAATTGGCCAATATCTCTTCTAAAATTTTCCTACTAACCGAATTTGATGATGCAGTTCCTTCAAGGCTACTCAGATCAAAATGACAGCACTTTGCTTTCCTAAGCCTGTAACTTGTGAAAGTTCTGTCCTGACTCATTTGACTGGAAATTCTGTTAAATCTAGCAGTGGCATATGAGATGGCACTTCATACCCAGCAAAGAGTACACCCACCCAAGCCATGAGCAGACAGTTTCTCCAGGAGGATGCTGTGGGAAACGGCGTCAAAGGCTTTACTAAGCTCCAGGGAAATGACGTCCGCAGACTTCCCCTCAAAAGTTGTCAAGATTTTAAGAAAACACTAAAGGGACAAGATATCAGACAATGCAAAAAGGGAGTAGAAGCAAATATTAAAAGCAAATTCTTGCATGCATTTTCTGTGTCAGAATAATTTTAAATTTGGCCCAAATTTGAACCAGAAACTCAGTGTATCGAAGGATCAGACTGTACATATGAAAACAAGCAAAGGTTTCCAGGCATTCTAAAACCTGCCCAGATGTGTCTCCAGCAACAAGACAAAGAATTTTGATTCCATATGTTTCTACACGGAAAGATATTTGGGTTTGTGACACAAATAAATGTTTAGGGAAGCAAAATCAATGACAGAAATGCAGTATTTTAATGTCGTGGCATTTAAGAGTCTTTTTACCACTCTCAAATTGTTTCACCTCAGATTTAAGGCAACTCATTTATCTTTGCTGCCTGGGTTTGAGAAGCTGAGAGATGTTGACATACAAGGAGAATCCTTTAGGAAGAAACAGCCCTGTAAGTGAGTAATTAAGTATAATCATATATAGTCTAGGCACCATTATAATGCACATTAATTATATCCTTTTTGCACTACAGTCATAAGTTAAGTAGTAGCTTGTAAAAACAACACTGAGCAACAAAAAGCATCAATATATAATAAACAGCTACAGTTCATAAGCTTATTGCAACTGAAAAAGAAAGCAGTTCTGTTTGCCCTAGAACTGGAAAAAATTTCTATTTTTCCCAGTGCATACAATGCACAGCTGATGGTTCTATCTGACTCTGAAAACTTCGTGTAACCCTAAAAGCAAAATCCATGAGCACCCTCACACCTAAAAATAACTTCAGAATTACATGGCAGCTAAACTGTATGAGGAAATTTACACTATTTATCCATACTCTTGGGGTAGAATTTCTTATTCTGCTTAGAGAATTACAAAGCACATATTTTCTCTGTGTAGGCTTTGCATGAGTTTCTCATACTTTAAAGCTTTTGATGATACTGATTAATTGCCAGATTTCAGCCACCTCTCTAACCTCTCCCTTTCAGTGGGTGTGAAAGGGTTTACTTGTAATATATATTGCCACTGACTGCATTTTAGCATGTTCTCCTGGATTCTCAGCAGCAATTCCCAAGTTAGAGGCTTCCCCAGAAAGGACGTCAAAGGATTCCCACCCACACATTGAATATCTAACAGGCCCTGACCCATTTTCTCCTTATTAAAGCAGCACTACATGTTTTTAAAAATAAAAATAATGAACAGACCCTAAATGAATGTGAGAATTGCAGTTGGAACTCTACCCTCTTCAGATTTCGGTTCTGAACGACATCGTTACCAAAAAGCAAAGAGACGCATTGAAAATACAAACATCAAATGTATTTTTCCTTCAGTGTTCTAATTAGTGACTTATTACTCCATCTACCTCTCAGCTAAGTACAAGGAGGGCTTCATTTATAAGTTATGAATATAGAAAAATCCCCTAACATAGCCATAGTTATCTCCTCCTGCAACAATATCTTTGGAATCTTCATGGAATCACAGAATTGGAAGGGTTGGAAGGGATTTCTGGAGCTCACCCAGTCCAACCCCCCTGCCAAGACAGGCTCACCTGCTTACTAAATTGTTTGGTAGTTTCTGAAGCCAATAGCAAAATACTTAGCAAACCTAATACTGAATTACGATTACTTTGGGGTGGTTTTTTTAAATTAAAATATTCATAAGCCATATTTAAATGACCTCATTATTTAAAAGTATATGACTGCATCCTTCATGGTGAAACAGTTACCACAAAGACATGTTTTTGTACCACTCTGCCATCACAACCATCTCAAGGCGAGCAGAACACACGAATCTTTTTTAAATCCATTTAAATCGTAAATATAAAGTTGGCTACTTGATGCATGCTCAAATAAGAGTCCAGGAGACGCATTTGACTTCAAAAACCTCCAAACAACTTGATGCAAACACCCATAAATTGAATTGGATCTCCTACTTAACAGAGTACGTGCAGCACGCACTGCTATTCTGCAGTAATCCATTAAAAACTGTAAAACTATTTTAAATTACGTATAAAATACCACGGTATCAACCTTATCTCAGACCTATTTAAGGCAGGTACTCACGGGTAGGATTCTGAGAGCTGCTGAGCTATTTTGTAAGCTGTGGGATCCCTGTCGAGCGCGTACACGGTGATGTTGTTGGCTCTCTCAAGAAGAGCTGTCGTGTGACCTCCAGCTCCAAACGTCATATCAAGGAAACACTGGTGGGTGAAAAAGACAACACCTTCACCTTAGAACAGTGATAAACCCATTGGTCATTTTCTTTTGCTAACTTCCCTCATATACCATTGCTTTTCTGGAAATAATATTGTGCAGAATTGCAATCGTGTCGGAGTAACGTTTTTAAGGGTTCTGACCTCCCTCCAGAGCAAAAGGACAATCATTTGGGACAACCAACTGCAGCATCATACTGTTCCCATTCCTTCACATCCTGAGTTTACAGGAAGACACTTGGCTGGACTGCTTTACTTGGCCTGGCTCAAACTGACAGATACACAGATGTATAGGACATTGGATTAAAGGAAATAATTCTGGTGTCCTCAACATAGGAAGGACATGGAACTGTTGGAGCAAGTGCAGAGGAGGTCACGAAGTTGATAAAAGGACTGGAGCATCTCCCTGTGAGGACAGGCTGAGGGAGTTGGGGCTGCTCAGCCTGGAGAAGAGAAGGTTATGTGGAGACCTCAGAGCAACTTTTCAATATCAATAGCAATTTTTTTACCATCTCTCCTCAATGAAGCCTATTTGTATAAAAATGTAATTGTTACCTCTGCATTTAGCTTGGAAAATTGCCAAAATGAACACAAGTTCTAGAATATACATAAATCCTCTTAAGTTACTTTTAAAACTTCCCTGATATCTCTGCTACTCTTTGATTTCCATTCAAGTTGTTTCCCTTTAATCCTTACCAGAAGTAATGTACATGAGCAATAAACAGACCTTCCACTTTTATCTTCCACAGAAAACTCCACTTAGCAAAATCCCTTTAGAAAAATGTGAAGGAACAACAGAAAATTAAAAACACCTTTTTATTTCTTGCTTAGGATTAACCCACTCAGAAATGCACTCAAAAAACTTAGTCACAACAGTCCCAAGTGTCATTTAGGATTGCACTTACTCTGCAGCAACACATAACAATCAAACCCAATCTAAATTACATCATAATTCCTCTTGGAAAAAAAACAACTTTCATCGACATGAGTCACATCTTCTGGGTTGGGTTTGGTCATTCTGCTTTGAAAAAAATGCTCTTTTTCGCTATCAGAGCTAGAAATCCAGCACTAATCTTTGCAATAACTCAACACTGTCTTTCCTGAAACAAACCTACAGTGTTGGCAGGAAGAGTCAGGGAAGGTTCAGGAAGTGCCAGAAGAATTACCTCTAACTTCTTCAAAAAGAAAAAAGTTTGGGAAAATAGTTTTACTTCACTTAAACTCACTAGTAACATGAATTCCCAAAAAATAGTCTTTCCCCACTAAGAGCTTTAACAATTTGCTTATTTCTTGCATGCCTGTTTGTTTTCTAAACATCCAGCTCTTCTCTGGACATCTCTAGAAAATGCTGCACAGATTTGAGCCTTCTCTCACAAACACTTCTGACCTATGGAGAAAGTATTCTGTTTCATAAAACAACAGAAGAATACAAAGAGAGGAGTTAGGGACCTTTTTGGCCAAGTGTATCTCTAAGCAATTTTGCTTATTTAAGCACTGTTTAATACTGGGTTTTGGTTTTTACCCAGATGAATTTTTGAAGATTTTTCAAGAATACTTACATATATATAAGTACTATAAATCTTCACCCAATTCCGTGGTGGTTCTGAAAGACCCAACACAAACCAACCAAACCTTCAAGCAACACTATACAATCCTAACATGATCTTTAACGTGGGAACACTACGTAACAAGAGGATACAGCTCTGATTCAACCCACACTGCTGGGTAAAACACTGCATCACCAGCACTAATGGAACAGGTTAAAGCATTTCTGGCATCCTACCAAACCTAATTAAGGCTACCGGAATTACATTCTCTCATAACTTTTTAAGGTAAAGACCTTCCCTGGATAATCTTCAAGCTGTCCTGGTATGTATCCCTAAATACCAAGCAACAACTCCTACAGGTGCCTCAAACTCTTAGCTGTTCCACTCAAAAGCCAAACTTTGCATCTGGAACATAAAAAAAATAAGTGTCACCTTAAGTTATCAAAAAAAATAATTCTGCTATTAACACAACTCTTTTGGAGCATTGATCAGATTGGAAATTAATCACTATAATATATTGCTTCATAATACACTTCTTATATATTCCGTTCATCCCTCATGCCTGAAATAAAAGATGCTTCATTTTTTCCTTCCTCTTTCTCTCTTGCCTAGTAGTTTTTAATCAAATAAAATTAAATGACATTTTATCCTCCTGGTCCTATAAATACCGGAAAAGATTATTACATGAATTTCTCCTGCAGTGACTCACCGTTCCATTGTTAAGTTATGATAGTCCCATCAGAGTCCCCCTGGGAATTTTCTAATCAGTTTGTGACTGTAGGTTTTAGAAACCATTTGGCTCTTTCATGACATAGAGACAGCAACAAACAAAAGCTTCATAGCCTTCATTTTACAACTAGCTCTGGGACAGTCAGAGAGATGCAAAGAGTTTATCTTCACCACTGTTGTGTACAAGACTTTCCACTGAGAAGTTCTCACAATAAATACTTTTTAAGCACTTCATTTTACTGTGACTGAAGTAATACATAATTCTGCTTATGATTATGTTCTGCAGGTAATAAAGTTTACTCTACTGTACCTAATAGCCTTTGTGATTATTTTTCCTTTGCTGTGTAACATAATGAGATTGCAGAACTTACACGAAATTGAAACTCAAACATGACATCCATACTTTAAACTACATAATACTGATTTAAAAAATCTCATTAGTTCCAGCATTTTCCAGTCTACCCTTTGTTTTTTAAAGGCAAGAACTTTACCCTCCCTCTTAAAGCAATTTGATCCTTTAGGTGTACAACTTTATTTTCCACTACTAACCTGAATTATTTCAAGCACTCTGTCAAATGATCTTTCACAAAATGTGTTTTCTTCCTCTCCCTGACATAGTCTTAAAGAGGACTCCAACAAATTGTGGGAATACAGGACATGAAGTCCTATGCTAAGCAGCCTCCTATCCCAGGTATCACTACTCCCCCCTTTTCCATCACTGACCACATGACAGACTTCTGCTGTTTACCTTCTGGTCTAGACAAACTGTCTCACCTTGTTCACACCTACAGAACAGCAAAAGATCATTACTGTGCTATGATTAACTAGCACACATGAGGCATTGGTCATGGCTCTTTCCCAACAAATAACATTAAATTCTTCCAAAAACAGAGAGCCTGTTATTCCCCAAAAGTGACCTTGCACTGCAGAATTATTTATTCAATCCTCTTAGCAACTTCGTGGTCTCCTCTGGACTTGCTCCAACAGTTCCATGTCCTTCTGATGTTGAGGACACCAGAGCTGTGTGCAGGATTCCAGGTGGGTCTCACCAGAGCAGAGGAGGAGAATCACCTCTTTGACCTGCTGCCCACAGTCCTTGGGATGCAGTCCAGGATTCCATTGGTTTCTGGGCTGCGCTTACACTGCAGCTCATGGGGAGTTTCTCACCCACTGTCACTCCCAAGTCTTTCTCCTCACTGCTGGTTTCAATTCCTTCCCCACCCAACCTGGAGCTGTGCCTGGGATTGATGATGACCATCCTTCCTGCCTTCAGCAAGTGTAGTCACCTGAACCACCTTAACCCCAAGTTCCCTGGTTAAAAAAAAAAAAAAAAAATCAAAATCAACATCAAAACAACCTTCCTCCAGCCCTGCTTTTGCAGCTCCTCTGATGACTTAACACATGCTCACAGAAGAGACAACTGTACAATGATTCCTCTCTGGTGCTTTCGTATCCTATCTTTGGCATTTGTCCCCTTCTTGTCTAAAGAAATGCTTCACTGAGCAGCAGCCAATCAAGTATAGTGGGATAATGTACTGAGCAGCACATTTTGCAGTGCCCTTTGGAGTACATTTCTTGGAGTACATTTGCTGGAGTATCCTCCTCACAAATTAAAAGCTCGTAAGACCCATCAAACACAGCATGAGCGAATCACTTAGAAGGTAATTAAGACAGCTATCATGTCAGTCAAATGGAACAGCAGCCCATTCATGGAAAAACAAATTGACACTATAGAAATCATAGTATATGACCTCTATACAACATCCCTGAACTTTGCCATTTGCAATCTATGTATCAAAAATGCCTCAGATGTATTTTTCAGAGGAAAACATTACTCACCAGCAAGACAAGAAAACAAGGAAAAAGAATCCTACTTAGTCACTTCTTTTACCTAATGTGCAAAGAAACGTGTAGTGCTGTTTTCAGAACAGAAAACAATGTGAATACTAAGTTTAAAATACAAGCAGAAGAAAAATTAACTTGGAAAAACCACACACTTTGTATTTTAACCATGACACATCCCTAATGGAGGACTCTCCACCAAAACTGTCCTTCACAAATGATAAACTACACTGACAGAACCTTCCTACAGGAGAGGGGAAATAAAGCCACAAACTCTCCCACCACAGCCAAGAACACAGCCCTAACCAACAGTCCTTAATGTTCCACCTTCCAGAAGAAAAATCAGGAGTTAGAAAGAATAATGTTGATGAAATCAGTATCTTTTCAGTGCTTGCATAACATATTGGTTTTGAAAATGGCACTCTCTCCACTTTTTACAGGCTTGAAATAAAAACATACCAGAACAGTGACTTATTGAAAACAAACTACAAAGGAAAAGGGAAGAACAGCTCTCCCACATCCAAGCTATGCTGCCTAACTTTTTAGCTCACTAAAGAAAAGGAAACTCCTACCTGAAGAAAAATAAAATGGAGAGAGTCTCTCATCCAATTGAGACATCCAACGTCAAAGTCACAATATTTTTTCTTAACATATTGTTCTGCTGAATTTTCTATCAAAAATCAGTTCAGAAAAATCAATAGTTATATGCTGAGAGCAAATGACATATTTCTCCAACATTAAAGCCACCACCCACTGGTGTATTCCAAGCCAATCAAAGCTAGGTCACAGAGCCTCTCTCTGCTTTCACTGATCTTTCTCAGCGCAATGACAAGCCAACATTTGTCAAAATAACAGAGTTTCCCCACTTGA